GCGTTGGGCCTCTGCGATTGACCGTAAGCGGCTGGACCGGCGCTCCCCGCCCGCCCCCAGCGCGCAGTCTCCTCCAATGGGAGGGCGGTTTTGCAAGAGGGCGGAGGGAGTGGCGGGCAATCGTCGGACTGACGGGAGGGCGCAGCCAATGGGAGAGGCGATCCGGAGTTGCCGCTCGCGCGCGCCAATCGCGAACAGAAACTACCGGGGTGGGCGGGGCCCAGGCGGGCGGGGGGCCGGTAGCGAAGCGGCGCGGGGCGGAGTCCTCGGGCGCAGCGGCGGTGGCGGCAGCGGCGCCCCTCTGGGTGACTTGGCCGTGAGAAAGTGAAAGGAGCCCGCAGGCGGCGGCGACAGCTGCGCTGGGAGGGGCCTGTCTCCGGGCTCCGAGGCCTCGCGCGCCCTGGGGTTGCGGAGCGAGCTTTTCGGTGTGCACCGTGACCACCAGAAACACACTTTTTAAACGTAGTGGGGCTGGTGTGCGCCGAGTTACGCAGGTATCCTCGGGAGGCAGGGCGCGCGGGGACACGGAGGACTGGAACCGGCCTGAGGCGGCCCCCTCTGTTCCCCGGGCCGCGGGCAACGCCGCGCAGTCGTCGCCCGCCCGAGCGCAGGGAGCAGGACCGAGCAGCGCCCGGGCTCCGTCCTGCCGCGCCCCCGTCCCCCAGGTGCACGTCGGGGCGCCGCGGCCGGCTCGGAAAGGCCGGCTCTGGGCGTCGCTCTCCCGACGTCGCCTGGTTTCGGGCGGCGCGCCTGCGTTTCTCGCAGCACCCTCGCGTCCCCTGTGGACTCGCACTGTTACAAGTACACACTCCCAAGTGACCAAATGTTAGAGAACCTCAGTAAAATTGATAGTTGTGGAAGCCGTAGCCGGATTCCTTAATTGGTACGTATCAAGCCACAACGTTCAACTACCGAGGGGGTTGATGTTAAGACTGCACTATCGCTGTTCCCTCCGTCCGAATGAACTTCCATTCGATCCCTCCTCTTTGCAATTAAATTGGGTTAATCACGGCCACGAAGAAATGTAGAAACTTCTATTCTCAAGAAATTGGAAATCTTGTTGAGGCAGGGATTACTAGTACAAAGTTGAATAGCAAGTAAAAAAATGGCTCAAGAATGTGAAATAGAAAATTGCACAGTGAGGAAGTCAGTACACCAGTAATTGTCAAATGAAATGTGTTTATTCTTTGCTAACTGAACCGGGACTGACAAGCCTGTTGCTAACCAACTTGCCAGAAGACCTTTCAACTGGGCAAAATGTGCTTTCACTTTGTTCCAGGTCAAATGGATAAACTAAGTTGGAAGTATTGTGTGGGTAAATCAGGCATGTTGAATTGCTAATGAAGTAAAAACAGGAGCACATAACATTCCTGGAACTGAAGTACAGTTGGGCTGTCCTGTTAAAACAGTGCTGATGTTCTCTACTCTTTCCTCGACTTTTTCATATGCCCTCACGATTGATCCCTGAGGTCATGGCCATCCTGTAATAACTAGTTTTTTAGCCCATGAAACATACTGTTGTATGTATGCTTTTGGTGAATTCTAGATCTTTTAGTCTATTGGTAGAAGGCCCAATTTCAGTTTGACCTGTTTCCAGTTAGGGAAATTTGTAAATGTTCTTGATGGATGCAACATTCTATTAAAAAAAAACAAGACAAAAAAAAAAAAAAACGTGAAAAGGAGCGCATGCTTTGCCAACAATTTTAGGAAGAAAAAAGAAAAAGAAATGTTTGCATTCTCAAAGCTGTTCCTCACCTATGAAAAGTTAAAAATAAGGAAAGTAACAGATTTCTGGATGAATAGACAAAGTAATTGATAGTGTCCGGATATTAAATAATAAATTCATGAGAAAATTAGAACAGATTCTCCACAAAAAGCTTGGAAACTCAGCTCTGTGGCATATAGAGCAAAATCACAGCTGTAACAA